GTCCGGGGGGTCCTTGGCCTTGGACCACGGCTGTATCAATCTGTTAACTGGCAATTTTTGTAACCCGTTATTTGCAAAGATGCGAGCGCGCTTACACACACACACACACACACACACACACACACACACACACACACACACACACACACACACACACACACCGGCCACCCACGAGCCGCTTCCACTCCCAGCCGCCGCGGGCCCCACCCTACTGGCTGCTGGTCGGGCGCGCCTGATTCCTGATCCAGCTTTTGATGAAATCCAGATCGCGCTCGTCAGTCGGCCAGAAGAACACACCTTCTCCACTCCATCAGAGCGGCCTCCCCGCCCCTGCCCCGCCGCACCGTGACACGCAGTGCCGGCCTGCCAAGGGCCCGTATTACACTAGCCTCCCTTCTAACCAGGCGCCAGATTTAAACAAGCTGCACGGCAAGAAAATGTGGGAAAAAACACGGGACACCTATTATTGCAACTTGGATTTCTGCATACTCAGTGCTAGTATTTTACTGAGTTGCGAACACGGTTAAACATTAGTTAATTGTTTCAGAAATTCTGATGTTGGGGCAGCAATTGGCTTCTAGCCTAGTTTACTTCAACACCACAAACTCCAGAAATTACGTCCGGCTTTCTTTAGATTCATTGAGCAAGTTACGGAAGCTAGGCGCCTGCGAGACTCGGGGTAGGCCACCCCGCCGTACACGCACGCACTGCAGACAAGATGTTGCCTACCCAGCAGGCGCTTCAAGCAAGGCTTGGCAGTCAACTTAGAATATATGGGAGGAGGGTAGGCCAGTTCGAAGACGATTGCCGTTACAAAGGAAATGACAAAGCCAACGCGAGACAAGACACTGAAGTCGTGCAGAGAAATCACGAAATAAGATACGTGGACGGAGCCCGTGCCGCGAGCAGGTGGTTGATCACTCGCACAATTATTACCCTGGATACAATGAACCTGGCCAGTCAGGTCAGAGAGTGGACCGCGGCCAGGACAGCTGCCTTTTCCTCCAGCAAGATGAGAGCCTCCCTCCCCCCCATCAGCAATCTGTGCTGCTCTGTCTTTTACTGCGACTTTATGGGGCGGACGTTACACGGCTGATCACGGTAGTAGAGTCCGATTAATTAGGTGGTTGCCTGATCCCCCC